GGGAAGGGAGGGAGCAGCGGAGGGAGGGAGCGAGGGCGAGCCCCAGCTTTCCCTCTGCCTCGCTCCTGCAGCCCGCCCTTCCAGCAGCCTTTGGTCCGCCCGAACCCCGATCGTACTTGGAAAACTTAGGTCTGCGCTGGGACCGCGTGCGGCACCTCAGCGGGGCGGCCCTGGCCTCGGGCGGGGGGGGGGCGGGAGTGAGCCCGAAGGATCAGCTCACAATTGTTCAGCTGTTTCTTCTCGCACCCCCAGCACTACAACCAGAAGGGGGCCGAACCGAGGGGCTGAGAGTGGTTCGATTTAGACGCTAATTTCCAACTCTTGTCCTCACAGCTTGTCTTTTCCAAGCAATCTGGAGTCCCCTCAGGCTAACCCGGCGGGCGCACACCTGCCAACCTTCTCTGACCCCGAAGGCCAGGCAGCTCCAAAGCCTGAGAACATGGCCCAGTCCAAGATGGACTGCCGCTCACCTGTCGGCCTCGACTGCTGCAACTGCTGCCTGGACCTAGCCCACCGGAGTGGGCTCCAGCAAGGCAGCAGCGAGGCGAACAACCCGGGCAACCCCACCGTGAGCAACTTTAAGCAGCTGCAGGAGAAGTTGATCTTTGAGAACCTCAATACTGACAAGCTCAACAACATAATGCGACAGGATTCTCTAGAGCCTGTGCTGCGAGACCCCTGCTACCTGATCAACGAGGGCATCTGCAATCGCAACATCGACCAAACCATGTTGTCCATCCTGCTCTTCTTCCACAGGTGGGTGGTTATGAGTCTCGGCATGCACCAGCCTCTCTAAGACCTTTGCTTCTGACAAAAAGGGGAAACCAAGTAGTTCACCAGGGGAATTGGGGAGGTTGGGCTCACAGACTGGACTTTCGGCTACCTGGAGTCTTGCACAGCTCAGGGGAGGCTTACCAGGTGTGAGACTGTTTGGAAATGTGCTGTTAAGTTTCATCAGAATGCAAAGAACTCTGGGGCCCAAGAGTTAGGCAGACCCTTTGTGGTTTAGAGGTAGCTGCTCATAATACCCCTGCTCCAATGCATACATTTCCGTAGCCCTCCAGGAGATTCTGCTGTGATGTCCTCTTGGAGTCTGAGTTCCACCCTACTCAGAAGCTCATTTCTAAATGTTCAGACTCCAAATGAAACTGCAAGGGTTTTTTAATTACTTAGTGGCCCTGACTGACAGGACAAGCAAAATGTCAGGACAAATTAGGCTGCTGCTGGTCTTGGAAGGTGCAAGGGGAAAAATAAGAAAAACTAGAAACTTGTAAGAATTTCTTGAGAGTCTAGATGGGGAGGGGGCTCTATGGAGCCCCATAGAGGGCTCCATAGATCTATGGAGGCATAGATCATAGCCTTTGATTTTGAATGCAGGCAGAATACAACTCTGGAAAGTAACCCAGGACATCTTATATGTCTAAAGAGCTGCATGTGGCAGGAAAGTAAATGAATCCATATCCTCCATGCAGGCATATGTTCCAGGGTAGGTCAGACTCTCTAGAAATCTTGCTGGGAAGGCAAGTGAGAGAGAGGGGAGGAGGGAAACACAGTGGGCACATCCATAGAGGCTGCTGTCCCCCAGTCTGAGAAGTTCTGGTGAAACAGCTTATCAACTGAGTCAGTGTAAATTGGGGAGGGGGAACTTCAGGAAATCTTACTGTGGTATTTGGTGTTCTTAATGCCTGAGCGCACTGGGTACTACCTGTGCACACAGGATGCCTTTAGAGTAATAACAATATGCTTAATGACAGTTATACAAGAGAAAGCCATTCCCACTATGGGAGATCTCAATTAGTACAAGTTATGCCCCTTCCTTTACGGGTGGGTCTGAGTAAGTTGTCTGACCTCTCTGATCCTGTCTAAGGTTCCTTGGAGCTGAGAATCTTTGTCATGTGTGGGTATTCCTAAATTATAAATACTGGGGCTGGGAATTTAGCTTAGTGGTTCTGCTGCTTGCTTCACAAGCACAAGGTCTCCAGTTCAATCCCTGATACCAAAAAGAAAGAAAGAAAGAAAACTGAGCCCTCACAAAATACCTGAGCGACACTAACCCTCAAACTGGAAAATCTAAAAGCAATTGAGAAAGGCAGTAGCTACCCTAATTTACTGTGAAGATCTGGTTTTCCTCCCTTGTCCCAAGATAAATCCACCATTGCCTCATTCTCAATTCAGCGCCAGTGGTTCCAGGCAGGGACAAGCAGGCTGCTAACTTTGTTAGTGTCCTCAGAACAAGTTGTATTTCTCAGACTTTTTTTTTGGTGGTACCAGGGAATCAAACTCAGGACCTTGCACTCTCAGACATTTTCAATATTACTGAGACCCCTTGTCAAATTATCTCATTGTCTAAAAGAGCCAAACCATGGAAGGAACAGGTTTTAAGAGAATCTTCATTTCTGGTAAAAGATTACCACAAGTGTGTTTAGCCCACAGATGCTGAAACCCTGCAAAGTAAAATCCCTAACAGGATCCTAATGATCTGGGCTCTGTTGGAGAGTGGCAGTGAGAAGTGGGGTGTGGAAAAACCTGGAAGATTGGCCCATAGTATTCTTCCAGAAGAGAAACTCCCTAGGTGAAGTATGAGATGAGGATACTTCCTTTGGGCCTAGGTTCTGGACCTAAGTGGCTTAGATCTGGCTGGAGGTATGAGGGTGGGAGCCTGAAATCCAAGAGTTTACTTGTGCTATACCTAGGGAGTGTCTTGGTTGCTTGGGTTTCTTGAATGGAAAGGCTTCTTTTGTCATCCACTCCTTCGACACTGGTGACTGATACTTGGTTCTTGGCAAAGCCTGGAAATGCTACAGAGTACAGATAGAGTGTATTAAAGACACTGGTTGAGGAAAGAAGGTGAACTGTTGGGCAGGTCCACCTGAGCACCCTGCCCCCTGTGATCAGAGCAACTCAGTGTCCTAAATCACTGAATAACAAACCAAGAGTCTGTCAGGCTTCGTTGAGGCTGAGGTGTGAGTGACAGGGTCCTGTGGTAACATCCTTATTAGTTTTAGCAGTACAAATCATTCTCTCATTTTCCTTGACAACCGGGACCTTAGAGATTAGAGATTCCAAATTCAGTTTAGGCTTTCCCGGGAATGACATGCTCATTAGCACACTAGGCGACAATAATTGCTGGTAGTTGGATTTCTCCAGTGTCTGAACTGAGGAACTTTCTCCTAAGTGAACATTTCTTCCCTTCATTTAATTGCCTAGATTTCTGTCTTCATATTTCAGCCATCATGTTTACTCTAGTTCGGTCTCACAATTAGGCATTTCATGTTCCTATTACAATGTCTTCCCTTGTGGACTTTTTTTTTTTAAAGACAAGATCTTGCTATGCAGTTCAGGCTGACCTTGAGCTAACTATGTAGCCCAGGCTGGTCTCGAACTAAGGGCAATTCTCCTGCCTCAGCCTCCTGAGTGCTAGAATTTCAGGAGCATGACACCACACTGGGCTTTTGTGAACTTTCACGGCCACCGCTTATGCTTGAAACGTTACTTTCCCCACCCCTAATTCTGCTTTGAGGCCTCCCATATTCTTGGAAAGAGGGAAGGACACATTCTTCATTTGTATCTGTTTTGTTTGCCTTGACCTATCCCTGGATCCCAGCTTAGCTCTAGATTTCCCTGAAGTACAAAAGTGTAGGCAATTTAGAAGAGAGATGTGTTTGGGTTTAAGTATGGCTATTCTTTTTTTTTTTTAAATTTTATTTCAAGGCTCTTTTGCGGAGTACCAGGGATTGAACTCAGGCCCTTGGGCTTGCAAGGCAGGCGGCAGAACCACTGAGCAAAACCCCCAGCCCCCCCCCTTTTAAAGTTTTAATCACATGCTGTAACTAATGCTGATAGAAGACCTGCTGGGAAGTGCTATGATGGTAATGGGTATGCAGCCTGTTGGTTTCTAAATGGTGCTTTTAAACTATTGTGGGGAGGGGTGTGTTTTAAACACCATCCCTTCAATCTTATGTTATTTAACTAATAAACACAAAAATTAATAATTAATATTTATTATACATTAATAATGTGTACTATTTTATCTTTGTAATCTCATTTAATATTTATAGAAACCTGATGAAATAGTATTACCAACCATTTTTATCTTGTAAAGAAAGAAATAGATATGAGAAAAGGAAAAAATGGAAACAAAGTCTTTGTAAATAGGGGAGGGTGGAGGGGGTGAAAGAAGGGCAGGGATATGGGGAAAAAATGAAAACCAAGATATGTCATGTAATAAAGGTACAAGATCCCAATGATGAATGTAACTGTACTGTGTACTTAAAAATGATATGAAAGAGTATTACCAACCATTTTTATCTTGTAAAGAAAGAAATAGATATGAGAAAAGGAAAAAATGGAAACAAAGTCTTTGTAAATAGGGGAGGGTGGAGGGGGTGAAAGAAGGGCAGGGATATGGGGAAAAAATGAAAACCAAGATATGTCATGTAATAAAGGTACAAGATCCCAATGATGAATGTAACTGTACTGTGTACTTAAAAAGTACCAGT